TAAAAGTCGTCTAAAACAACGTACCACTTCGATAACTAAAGGCTGTATTCTGATACAAATTTCTGAATATCGTTTATACATAATCGATATCACCAAAATTACAACCCCATTCCCATGGAAACTATTGTTAAAATTACTTTCAAACCATATACTTTTGACTCGCAAGGTATATGTAAATACGTATTTCATATTTCGTACCTGTGCATCTTTTCAGCGATCGTCGGGTTGAAGCTTAAGCACCAAAGCGAAAATATCAGTTGATACTGTAGCTGAAAGTTGAGCTTTCCAGCAAGCATAGAAATTATACTATAAGCACGTCTATGTGAAAATGTGGCTTATACTGGGAACATCGTTAGTTACGTGTTGACGCATTCCAGATTGACGAATGCGTACCGGTATTCGTCGATGCGTAGCATCATCTGAAGACATCTGGCTGTTGTTTGCAGATACTCGTTTCCCTAGAAACAAACACGAATACAAATAAACCGAATTCAAGCAAACGACAGCAAAACACCGAGAACAAACTAAACAGCAAAATTATACATGGCGAAACAAATTCATGCTAACACACGCGACACTCCGACTAACAGGAATCTGCATAGACAAACACATGCAGCAGCGACATTCAAATCTATTCAGTAGATAACAAACCAAACTCATATTAGAAGTTACCATCCATATGAGCACACAGCACTTACTAAACTGTTTGCTTTGCTGTCTTTGAAGTATCACAAAACAACAAAAGTTTAACTCACAAAACCAATAAACTAACGACCAAACAAGATCAAACAGCATACTGCACCGCGCATTGCTCCTAGATGCAAAGGAAGGCTACATAAGTAGGTCAAAAGCAAGGTGGGAGCAATATGTATTTACGAAAATACGAGAGTGCAACTGCTATCACGCACCCAACTATCGAAAACAGCGGCGCTTGAAAAAATAGCCCGGCAGCGGCTCTCAACCAGATTTTCATCGGACAGCGTCTACTTTAACTAACAGCCACAGTAACAACGATGGGCAACTACAAAGACTTAGTTGCCGAAGCGCTCTTAGTCCTGACAAGGCCTAACGACATGAACAGAGATGAAGTTTATACCTCTTCGTCATAGCGAAACTTATGTAAACTTTAGAGCAAAAGAGAATTCTAATTATATCTTGTCTACCTCACATTACCATACGGCTGTATATTATATCGTTTGCAGTTGAGAAAAGCTGGCAACATAAGTGGAAACCTTGATCCTGCAACAAAACCTTTGCGCCGCGTGAAATTGCAATAAGGTCGTATCTTACTCGTGAATGCTCAAGGTTTCAAGTACTTATATACATATATTTATCAGAATTTGTGAGAAGCTGACCGACCAATAATTTATTTAATGAACCAGCGCCATTTTTAACAGCCTGCTACCTGATTCAGAATGGAAGGGATGGCATATGCCATTCGCTTTCACTGCAATAGAGAGCGCATCGAAGTTGCTTATCATGTAATGGCAAACGCAGTAAACAAGACAAAAGGTGACAAAATTTTCAGTAAAGATAAAACGTCATTTATAAACTGTCACGATGTGTATCCAAAAACATCTGCAGCTGGATCGACGGGAAAACAAAAAATTTTAATTTTTTTAGTAACAGTAAGTCAGAATTACAGAAGACATTTCACGGAAAAGCAACTCTGAGCAGTTCCCAATTAACTGTTTAACAAATGCTATGCTAGCAAAAGCTTACCGGTGACTTCAGACGATCCTTAAGCCAAACAAGGTAATACGTCAAGTCCGCACCGTCCATTAGCTCTTGACTGAAGCAGGCCATTTTTGCAATGATAATGCTAACCTGTTAAAAACAATTTAACTACCGAATAAATCGTACGCATATCGCATTCAGATTCAAAGGTGCGTGAAATATGGAACGAAAGGCCAGAATCAGCTCATCCATCTGATAAATACCATTCTGCTTTGCCACAAATAGATGACGTCGTGTAATTCATTCAGTATAACTATCGACCACGAACAGGAAGTTTAGAACAAATAGTTTACTAATAAACTCATAACACAGGGCTTAATTTTTGCATATAGAATATTCAATATTTCGAAATTATTTGATAAACCATCATTTTAATAGCACTGCCTGAAACAAATCACTGTTTACTGACAACGGCAGCTTTAACTACGGCCAGTAAGAACAAGAAATATGTCAAACCCCTGTCAGATATCCTGCGTTGCTACTCTGCTTCTTGCTTATAATGGACAGTTTCACGTTTAGAATACTTATCGATTCTAGATCTATAACTGATCAGCTGAACACTTTCTTTATAAATGGTTATCTCTCATATGTAAAACAACGATGGCAAGATCGTACTTAAATTTAGGTGTGTCTTTTCGACACCGGTAATATCGTGAGGAATGAATGACGCAAGGGTCAAGTGGACTAATGGTACACTAACGAAATATTAATTATATATTAATAACCTGGTTGCGAGTGGCAGTTTCATGCCACTTCAGGGGCGATTTCAAATGATGTGATGGATTATTAACTGCGCAGCAATAATCTATTATGCCATGACGATGACTTAATCATCCAGACGATCATCACGAAAGTGCCGAAGAACAAGTTCCAAGAAAACTAAACTTTGTACAGCCAAAGGAGCTAGCAAAATTAAGAAGT